GGATTGTTGGTAGGGCCTGCTTGTAAATCGCATCAAAGTAAGCGATGTAGAATAAAATATTTAAATAAATGAAAAAATACTTAATGAAATGATAAAACAAAACTAAAATTGAAATAAAGCAAAAGAACAAAACTTATAAACTGACTTGGGCCTCACAGCTCGGAACCCAAAGTAAAGGCCAGAACTTTAGATGGCCAAATGAACTTCTTTTGATGAAATGAATGAGTGACTTTGATCTTTAAATAAATTAGTTGGTGAAAATCTCAAAGGCCTAATGCTTTAGGTGATGAAAAGATGAGGCTTTTCTTCTCTCCAATGGTTGGTCATGACTGCTAAAGACTAAGGTGGTTGGGACTCAAGTTTGGGCTTCCTAAAGACAAGGAATAGGATTTGGTTGGAGAGAAAAAATTAGGGTTTATTGGGAATGTGTGGCCCTATCTCTCTTTTGGGAGGTTGAAAATATGAGTTTTTATAGGTAGAGACGACCTAGAAACTGCGTGAGGCGGCTGTCTACACCAACAAGGAGTCGACAATTGTTTGTGCCACAACTTGTGGCACATATCTGATGTACGGTGTGCCACAAGCTTTGGCATGATAGGCAACCGACCCAAGTTGGTGTAGATTCCTCAAGATTGTGATTTTGATGATTGAAAATTGCTATATCGGATCACAATTCATGTGGTTTGGCAATATTGATATATTATCATTTCATTTCACTTATAAGCCGGCTATTTTTTATCTAATTTTTAAGATGGGTTTTCGATGGGATTTTTTGAATTTTCTAGGATCTATGGGTTGGACTATGATCTGAATATGACTATAGTTTAGTGTATCCTATGGTGTACTAGGTTAATGGTTTGTAGGCCTTAAAAAGCTTATATGCGACTCCTATTATGCATTTAAGAGCTTCAGTACCTAATATGATTGGAGGGCTGGTGATGGGCGGGATTTGGGCTATGCCTGACCCCGGCCCGAAACCATGTAATGTAGCAAAAAACTAAAATTTAAGCCTAGTCTCAACCCAAAAAATTGGGCCAGGCCTCTTATAAATGTAGGAAAATTTCTATTTTTAAAGCTTACAAAAGAAAAGAAAAAAAGAAAATCAGGCTGGAAGGCTTACATGGGCCCAACCAAAAAAAATACACCAATTACCAAAGACCGCCCCCTTTCACTGCCTGAGCTGGGCCTGCTCGAAAACCCACGGGTCCGGCCTGTTAACATGTCTAATTGGAGCATTATTGTCTTCCAAATATTTTAAACTTTTATATTTAATTGAAAAAACATTTTTTCTCATTTGGATGTCATTGTTTTCAAAATAAAATATTTTCATGTAATTATTTCAATAATGTTGAAACATAAAATGAATCTTATTATAACTGTTTTGGCATTCAAGTTCTCAAAAGTTGTCTATGATTTGGAGGATGCATTTCTACATTTGCATCCCCCCAAGGTATCAAATATCCATCTTTAAGATGGATGAAAAGTTGTGGTCCCTCTTAAAGAATAAAGTCAAACATTTGAAACCTTTTTTTCCAAAAAATTGTGTTCTTAGCTTTTATTTATTTTTTCATTTACACGTATTAATGATGTCCATAATAGACACTATATATTATCTAAAAAATAGACAAAAAAGAGGGTCCACATATCTACATGTGAGTCTTAGGACACATAGAAACTTTGCCCCTTAAGTCTTGAGGCACCTCCCAATTTTATCATAACATATAATTTTGGTGACAAATTATTAGGATTATATCAATATCTATTTTCATATCTAATTATAGAATTTTAAATTTAAAGAATGGTTAAAATCAGGCATATTTATAAACATACGAAAATCTTGAAAATAGACGGTCTAGATAATGTATTGCAAGATGCACTATTTATGGGACTCAAAATCTTTTTTTTCTTTGATATTCATATATCTCGAGGTCGAGATGATCTATTAGAGGTTTTTTTCAACATTTAACAACATTTTCCAATGGATTTTTAGGTACATATGTAATTCTACATTTCAAGGTTTATATAAACTTTTTCCATACAAAGATATATTGTTTATTTATTTTAATGTTTTCACTATTATGAAAAATGACATTTCTCTATCCTCAGTTTCATAAAGTGTAGAATCAGATGCACCTCAAAAATCTATCGGAAATATTGTTTTAATGTTGAAAAAGCCCTCTAATCAATATACATTGAGATCTATGAATATGAAAAAAAAAAAGGTTTTTGAATCTCGAAAATAGTGCATATCGCAACACATTATCTAGACCGTCCATTATCAAGATTTTCATATATTTATAGATCTACTTGATTTTAACCATTTTTGGAATTTAAAATTTTTAATTAGGTATGAAAATAGATTTTAAGATAATACTAAGATTTTTTTACAACAAAATTACATGTTATGATAAATTTTAGGGTGCACCTTAATTGGATTGTTTAAAGTTGCAGCCTTATCGAAACCATACCCTTACATAATTGGATAAATTATTTCTTTATTATTTACTTTGCATATGAAAACTTTATCGCTTGTTATTTGAAAAACGGTCAAACTAGAAAAATTGATTTATTTTCATTATTTCCAATGTTATTTTTTAGAATTTACGTATATGACATTGTGAATTCCCATTATTAAAAATAGAAAAAAATACTCTAGTTTCGATTAGAAAATTGACCTAATTCAAAAGCCACAGGACCATCTGCTCCATCGTCAGCGTTGCTATGGTGCTCTTCCCTTTACCCATCAACCCCTTAACTCTCTAGATCTTCTCCTTACCATCTCATTAAACGAGCGTTTTAAAAAACGTCGAGTCGACTCGAAAATCGTGAAAAGAGGATCGGATCGTCTAAAAAATCGGAAATCGTCCGGTTCTAGAGAGAATCAGACGATTCTGTACAGTGAATCGTCGGAATCGGCGATTCCGAACAGTGAATCGGCGAGTCCGTACGGATTTTATTTTTATTTTTATTTTTATTTTTTTATTTTTTATTATTATTTTTTTTTGTAATCCATGATAGATTTTTTTGTAATACTTAATCAATTTTTTTGTAATCCATGATCGAATTGTTTTTGTTTTTTTGTAATCCATGATTGAATTTTTTGGTTTTTTGTAACCCATAATAGAATTTTTTG